AAAACTCTTATGTTGTGGACTAGGGAGTATATATTTTCCCATGTATAAACTACGCTTCCCATCCCCACCCCCCAAACCAAAACAAACAAACAAAACAAAAGAGATACTCCTTGTGTAAGTCACTCCTTCACCTTCCACACAATTCTATAACACCTCATCCTTAGCTTTAGACGCCACAATCATATAAAACTTGAATTGATCTTGCATTTGTAATCTGCCATGTAACACCAATTGCATAGTCCCTTCTTTCTAGGCCCAAAACACTGGAGCTGCAATGCATATACAATAAAACTCTATTCTGGAATATTCCTAAGCCCTCATGTGCTAATTTGGAAAAGCCACTATGAGATTGATGAGTCAGCCCTAAAACTTATCCTATCCAATATTTATTTATTTAATATATATATATTTTGCCATGTAACTATTGAAGCCTTTTTACCTCCGGCCTGCTGGAATACACCAGCCAATTGTGCCCTGAAAATTTAAATTTCAAACTTATTTACTCTATTAATTGATAAGAGTTTGAATATGTTGATTCTATTATGGAGTAACCCTCATTTAGTGAAATTTGATACCAAAAGTATACACCTTTTTTTTTCCTCACCTTTGGATAAAATTGTATTTATTCAGTATTCAAGTGTTGGTTTATTGCTTCTGTAAGATACCAAAAGGTCTTTACTACTAGATTTAGGATAACGGCTTGCATTCTATAATAGACTGCTAAGTGGTAGATTTATGCATGTATAATTGACATTCTGTGCTGACATTGACGGTGTGACCTTGCTTTCAGTTGTCAAGAACATGGATTATTAACCATTTCTCTAAACTATGTTTGATTCAGTTTATGTATTACCAAGTTCATCTTTTTGGATGGTTTGAAGTGTTATGTCTTTGTGTAACTAATTTAATTTTACATTTTTCTGGACATGTTTCTTTTATGGTTGAGTTCTGAGTCCAATTTATCTCGTATTGCAGGGGATGGAAGAGTTAAGATGCCACTCAGCCCAACAGTTGCAGGGACACAAGAAAGACCGTTTGGCTTGGCGTCCAGCCTCGGTGATGGCAGCAGTGGCATCCAACTTATGGAAGCCTCCTTGTACCCTTCAGCTAGCAATGTCTCACGCAGTTATTCATCAAATAATTTAGGGCAGATGCAATTCGACAGCAGTAATATGGGTGCCTTCTGGACTCCTCACAGAAGTCAGATGCGTCTGCAGAGCAGGAGATCACAATCTCGAGAAGACCTTATTTCATCAATGGCTGAGGCAGACGGCAGTAATATGGGTGCCTTCTGGACTCCTCACAGAAGTCAGATGCGTCTGCAGAGTAGGAGATCACAATCTCGAGAAGACCTTAATTCCTCTATGACTGAGGTGCACACGGTGAAGGTTTAGGGCATCGTCTTTCAGGAACTTTGGTATGACTACACTACATCTTGCCTAAAATTACCTTTTTTCATGTTAAAACTATTTTCCCCTTAGAGTTTTGCTTCCTCATTCAAAATAGGCAATTCTTTTTGTATCATAAGAATTGGTCAAAGGTAATCAATAGTTATCCAAATTAATGTTCTCTTTGGTCACTGTTCTTTTTTAATGTATGCTACCAGAGTTGCTAAAAGTTCCTTACACTTACTAAATAAAATATTCACACTCCCCTTTATCTGTATAGCCTGAACTGCTCTTGTACTGCCGTAGATCATATTTGTCAGGGCAGAGTTTCTATATCATGTCATAGACTCTAATCAAAAGCTGTTTCTGGCCATGTCCTTGCTGTATTTTGTAACAATTCATGATAATTTGAATCGCAATATATATTATCTTAGGAGAAATTCTCACAGGTTGTTGTTAAAAATGGAATGGGTTGATAGAAAATAAAATGGACTAAAATAATGTCATAGATTGATGGAGAGAGGAAAGTTAGATTGACGGGATTCACTGGAATAAAGTCATCAATCCTCCTTTTCACTTTTCTATCACTCAATGGCTTTCCGATCTCTATTATTCCCACTTGTCTATCAATTCTTGACCTTATTGTAGTTCATACTATTCTCTTTCAACCTATTCTATTCCATTTTTTTTTCCCTAACAACCAAAAGGGCACAGAGTCGTTCTACATGTTATCTTTCTCTTGACCCTAATCACAGATTGTAAAGCAAGTGTACATGTCCTGTATTTCAGAAATCCTGTCATGAAGATAACTACGGAGCTAAGAATGAGGCGGTCCGATCATTTCATTCCAAGAGAACGAGCGATTTTGCTCGCTTTGGATCTTCATCCATTCGCTCTGTGACTTCTGCTCAACTATGCTCAAATCTTCATCGTCCTGCTGGCTCAACCCATCCAAATTGGCATCATCGGGTAATGTCAAAGTACTAAAGGCTAATCAGCACAAGAAGAATGTTTGATTCATTTTATGCCTTTGCTTCTAAGCCATTTTTTAGACTAATTAATCCCCATAGCATTATAGAGAATTTTCCTCTTAACTAATTACCTGTTTAGTTTAGTTATAATTTATAGAAGCATGATATATTTTTTTAATCAATTATATGCTATTTGATTATGTTTTTTATAATTATTTATTAGTATTTTATCATATTTAGAATAAAAAATTGCAGATTTTATTTCCATTGATAAAAATTATTTTTTATTCTTTTTTTGCAATTTTTTTTTCCATCATGCGGATAATGGAGTGGATAGTACTAAAAATTAGTTATAACCAAGAAAATCAGTTAATCGGTTCAAATCATGTTTCGAAAAGTCTCTTAATTTTTTTTTTTAATTTTGTAATTCAAATCATGTTTCGAAACTATGATTCATGCATATCTACAGATAATAACCATTGGAGAAGATAATGGATAAATGAGTGCGCGCGCGCTATAAATTACAAAATATATGTTGTGGGTATCGTGTCTCATAAATATATGAGACTTTTTTCGTTTCTGCTCACTTTATTTTAAATTTTTCTACTTTATTTGGAATCAGTTTTGTATTTTTGTTATTTGTTATCTTTCTTAATTGGGATAAATGGCAAATTAATCCTTAAATTATATGTTCAGAAGCGTGTGGGATCTAAATTTATATTTGGTGTAATGTTTTCCCTCTAACTTTAAAAAATGTGCAATCTGATATTTATTGTTAGTAAAAGTTAATTTTAATCATTAATTTATTAGAAAATAATAAAAAAAGGTCTTGAAAGTTACAGAAATGCGCCAAAAAATTATAGTAAAGAATTCAAAAATTATAGGCAAGGATTTAAAAAATTACAGAAAATGATGAAGAAAATTTTATTGATTTTTTTTGTAATTTTTGAAGTATTTTATTATTTTTTATTAATTAATGATTAAAGTTAATTTTTATTAATATATGAAGTAGATTATATTATTTTTAAAAGTTGAAAAAAATATTATATCAAAAATAAGTTTAGAATCTTAGATACTTTTAAATTTATAGTTTAAGAATCAATATTCTTTTACCCTTCTTAATTATTGTAGCCCATTTATAATTAAAAAGTATTTACTTTAATCATTACTAATCTGATTACAATCATGATTTAACTAATATATCTTTTTTTTGAGCAAAGATATAACTATTAACTAATATATCTAAATCATAAATTGAGTAGAGGACAATAAAATGAAAAATAATAAAATCTTGTATATTTAAAAAAAAAAGAAGAAAATTTTGTATCAAATAAAATAAAATTTTAAATAAAAAATGGCTTCCAAATTAAAAATGATATTCCCGTATGGAGTTTTTAATTTGCGAGTTTGCATTGTTAAACGGTAGAAGGATCACACCTTCGCAATCATTTGCTTAGAAAGAATTTGGTTACTTTTCTCATTCCCATTTCATTGAAGTTGATCCTTGCCTTCTGCGATTCAATGTCAAACTTGAATTTATAATGGCGAAGGCTCCAGAGAGCTGGTATGTGTCTTTGAACTCAAAGTTGAAACAATTTGTTCTATAAAATAAGGGATTTTAAATTGATGATTGTGATAAATCATTTTTTTTTAAATGACGGATTCTTATAATATTTGCAAATAAATCCATTGCCTATCTTATTGCCCAGAGAGCGATGAGATTATTCATGGAAAGAATGCATTTGAAGATCCCCTTTCTAAATGTCAAACCAAATACACATTTTCATAACTAAATTATTATATTTCAAAAAACAACAATGTTTTAAAAGTTAGCCTGAATGTTAAAGTGGTAAGGTTAGTGCGTCTTGATTTTTATTGTTTAACCAGTGACATCGACAATCAAACCGGTTATGACAATTAAATAAAAATGATTATATTAAATGCATATAATATATATATATATATATATATAAAATACTTAGTATGTCTAATTGTTGATAAAATAATACATCATGACCATAAATTAATTACTCTCTCTATTCAAAAATATAAAATATTTTTAATTGAATTTCACTTGTCAATAAAGTAGTTATATATTTTTAAACTAATTTCATCTTTTTATATTTACCTTTATTAAACATTCTATAATAAATATAAAGTCATTTATCAATAAGAGTACTTTTGAAAAAAAAAAATAATTACACTTCGAAACACTAAAAATATCTTACATTTTTAAATATTCAACTCTTCAAAAAATACATTATATTTTTTAATCAAGGGAGTATGATTTTATAACTTATCAAAGTGCATCTTGATTGAATCAGTCATAACTAAACTCAAGCATTTGTATTTTAAAATATAATTGTCACATCATTTTAGAAAAATTATACACGTAAAGAGTCCAAAAATAAAGTTAATTTTTCGTAGGCCTAGCTTTAAATTTTTTAAGCTTTTTTATGTTACATTTAAACCAATCCGGTTTTTAAAAAATTATTTTAATTTTTGACTCAATAGCAACTCAATTTTGATTCGGCCTATCTCAATCATAAAAATAATTTGTTAATAATATGGTTCTGTTTTCAATGAAAACTTTTCATATCATTGACAACCACATCCAATTCCTGCATCACTGAATATAATCTTGGAGATGCAAGAGTCCAAACCAAAATCTACATCTCATCATAAAAATTAAAAAAAAAAAAATACGTCTACAAAATTGTATGACCTTGTTGGATTTGGATACAATGTTTCATCAACTCGCCTATTATAAACATAATACTCCTTTCAAAATTGAGAAAAGAAACTGTTGACCATCTCGCCATTCGAAGTCCAAAAAGAAAATGAACAAGGGTCTCGTCTTATGCATTATCTGATTCCTCAAGCAAATTCTCACTTGACGTTGAATTTAGAGCAGATCGGTAATGAAGAGATTGTAAGAAATTGAAATAAGCGTACTTAATGTCAAATTGCATATCATACCCTGCAAAAAGAAATATAATAATGCATCAGACCTTTTTATAAACACTGGATAGATAATAAGAAATCCATCGACAGAATATCTTATCCTTACAATAGTTCACAGCAATAGTGCATCCTCTACCATCTGGACTCTGCCTCACATGATGGAACCACATACTGGGCCTGCATCAAGATCATCATATCAGCATCAGCCTGCTCATTCATTATGATATAACAACAAATCTTATCCCATTAGATAGGGTCACTTCACTCGCTCTTTCTTAATGATGCGTATATGGAACATCTGCTTAACAAATGGCATAATTCTCAGCTCTGATGATGGATTACATCGTTCACTTCAACAATTTAACAATCTACAAAGCAAAGAATCCAAGTTCGGTGCGAGCTTTAATAGAAATTTTTACGTTGGTGTTGAAGCCTAATAGGAAGATACTTGACTTGTGCTTGGTCTTGCCATGCCTACTCATTCCTTCAACTTTTTTTTTTTTTTTGTTTGGCAATGGCACTATCAATTTAATAAATGAAATAACACACAAGATCTCAGGTTTAGAAAATGCCTGCAAATCCAATGACCGAGTCGAATAGCTATATAAAAAAAAAATTCAAAAATAAACTAACAAAAAGGTGAAATGCATGAATTGCTGGGAAGCTAACATGGATTTGGGAACTGACTCTAGGCAAGCGCAAGCACACAAGAATAACTTGTAGTTTTAAAGGATAGGTGATTCCAGCTACACCAATTAAATGCAACTTCAACTGAGTAATAACATCATAATGAACATTCCTAAGATTAAAATCCGGAAGCCACTCGTGTCATGAGTGTATCATGTCAATACTCCACTTCAGAATCCAATTCTTGATTTTGAAAAGCGACACTAAATTATCAACTCATAATAGGACCAGGAAATACATTTCTACAGTCCTGGAACCTAGAAGAAAAATTTAAGAATGAAAGTTGCCACATTTTATAGGCCTTCACATGATAAGACTTTTTCAGAAATTCCTTGTGCAATGATGCAGTGAAAAATGTTTCTTCCACAAAACCCATTAATTACACATTGAAAAACTAAAAATGCCTTGTATTTTTAAAGGGAGGGAGTAATAAAAAATGTATTATTAGAAGTTAGCGGATCATGGAGTGGCATATAACTAAGGGTGCACTTTGCATTGGTGCATTTTCTACATATATCATGCAGATTCCATGACTAAGGCTTAGCTGATATAAGAACACAGTTTAATACCAAAGAAACAAAGCATATATAGCTAAAAAATAGGAGATTAAAACACAACAGAAGCTTACAAGTAGAGAATCTCGCCAGCCTTGACTGTGCATTGTAATGGCTCAGGGCCATTGAAATACAATGGGAACTTGGACATTTCATTATCCTTGGTCTCTGGAGAAGGATAAGGATTCACACTGCACCAAGGTACATATCTTGTTGGCTTCTGAAGTTCTAAAGTGAACTCTCCAGAATCCTACGAGCCATAACAATAACAGCAGCAACACTATTAAAAAAGAAGAGTTATTCAAATTTCAAAACATAGTTAATCAATGAAAAGAAACATGTATGTATATGCATACCCAAGAATATCTATAATGAGAAGCGGGGTATTCTCGAATGTACAAGCGATGAACATCAGTTGGGGGCAAGAGCAGAAAATGCTTCTCCCCAGTGACCACAGCATAGAGATTCTCGTAGTGATCCTTATGAAACGAAGTCTGAGAGTGCTGATTACCAATCCAGAGATTCACAGCTTCAGGAACGCAACCAAGCGCCTCAGTAGCCCATGGAATGTGGGGATCGCAATCGTCAGCCAGAGCCGAATACTCTGCCCGAAAACAATCGTTCTGCTGCTGCGCGTAGGCAACAAATCTCATCTTCGAAGAGCAATCTCGACCCCCAGAAGAGATCAGTGAAAGAGCTTTATTAAAAGGCATGCGCTCAACGTGTGCGGAGGCAAAGCAGAGCGAGGGAGATGAATCAATGGTTTCGGTTTCGGAGGAAGAGAACAAATGGGCGACTGCATCGGCGCGTCCATTGGGAGTGAGATGGAGGGAGACGGTGGAGGAAGAAAGAGCGCGCGTGAGATAGGAGTGGTCAGTCCAACAAGAAAGGGCAGGCCAGTGGTTAATGGCGTTGGAAATGATGCAGGGCTTGTTAGGAGAGACGAAGTCTCTGAGGAATTGAAGTGGGGACGGAGGGGATTCGAGCCTCTCGACTCCGCAAGAGTTTCCCAAGCTCAGATCCCTCACTTCGTTCCACAAGGACTCAATCTCCTTCATGTAAAAATGAACTCACAAAAACCTCAGAAGTCTTGAGCCCTTACCAGTAATCAGCTGTGTGAATTGCTGTGTTCAAGCTTTGGTTGGCTGCTACTGCGCAAAAATCGCTCCGTCGTCGAGGTCCATTTTTTTTTTTTTTAATTTTGCTGTTCCGACCGACGAAGACATTATGAGAAAATTCAAAATTACATGGTTAAAGGGCATTCCCCACCCTTGACTAAGAGTATCTTATATTTTAAATTTTTATATGATAAAACTTTTTAATTTAATTTTAAAAAATGATGCATTTAATATCATGCTATTAAAAAAATTAAATTTAATTATTAGTTAATCTAAAAAATCATGAAAAGGAATAAAAGTTACAGAAAGTGATCAATCAAATTACAAATAAGCACCCACAAAAAATTAATATTGATTAAATTTCTGAAATAATGTTGGGTTAAAATTATACTTTGGCCTTTTACATAAATAAAAAATAATATTTGTATATATTATTTATATATAATTTAAGAAACTTAATTGATATTAAGTTTTTATAGGATATTATATATAATTTCATGGGCTCTTTTTATGTTATTTTTGAAGAAATTTCCTGCAATTTTAAAATTGTATTTGGATAAGATGTTCAATACATCATTTTTAAAAATTCTAAAAAAATGATATCACATAAAGATTTAAAATATAAGGTACTCAATAAGCAAATAGTTGTGGAATAGAAATGCCCTTTAATCCCTTTATTTTATATATATATATATATATATATATAATACTTAGAGTGTATAGATGTTTTTGGAAAAACTTGATTTTGAGTTTATAATTCATTGATTTTGATAAACAATAAAGATATTGGATATATTTTTATAAAATCATAATTTTAATATTCAAAATTGATTATTATTGACATCCAAAAAGGTAAAAAAAAAGTCCTGTGAAATGGTAAAATCACACTGCGGTCCAAGATCTCAACCAAATAAACAAATGACACAAAAGTATCATAAAATGGAATAATTATTCAAAATTTCTAAGAACTTGTCATATATTTTGTAATATTATGCTGTTGACTTTTTATAAAATAATAGAAAATGTAGTTGTTAAAATGTAAAGTAAAGTTGTTAATGTCTAATCTGGAGTTCTTACTCATTAAAAGGAAGTTGTTAGTTTAGTTATACCATAAAAGTAGGCTTCATATCTTAATAATTTTGGCTTAGTGATTAACAACTCTAGTTTAAGTATTAACAATACATTTAGTCATAATTTCATTTTAATTATACAATAATTATGCTTCCTATATTAACAATTTTATCTTCATAATTAACAACTTCAATTTAGATTTTAACAACTCCATTTTCTATTATTTATGGAGGGTCAAAAATATAATTTTTTAAAAAAAAATTATGTCAAAAAAGTCCCTGCAAAATAATTATCCTATTTTATGGTACTCTTTTGTTTTTTTTTTTCTGATTTAAATGAGATTTATTTTTGATCTCCCTTGTGACAAAAGGAGAAAAAAAAAATTCCTCTACAGCTCAGGGGATATGAGGAACGATGTTGGGAAGGGTGGCCCAAGATAGGGCTTGAATTCACGCCCCTCCTCGTTCTCCAAATTAAATTATTCATATTTTTTTAATTATATAATACAAAATATTTCATAAAAATATCGATTTAATTTTACGTCCATGGCAACTAGATTTCACCACTTCGCATCTTTTCAGAACATCAGATTTGCAATTTATCAAATGCTAAAAATTAGACTAATCAAGATATTAGTTCAAGAATTAATGGTTAAGATCATAGTGAATCATGATTAGATTGATCATGAATAAAATATTTTATTAGATTAGTCATAACAATAATTTAACTTTTTATCAGTTGCCAGGTTAACTCGGTTTTTAATATTTTGCAATTTGTTAACAAGTTGTCTTTTGAGATATGATGACTTGGAAAATGACAAGAAGGCTTCACAAATTAACAACGACTTTACGGATTAAAAACTCGCGAATAACAACTTGGTTATGTAAATTGAGAGCCATGGGTATAGCCCATAAAAATTCCACAATTCACTATTAAAAAAATATAAATTAGTGAGAGAATTTAGTGAAGGATCATTTATTCCTCTTTAAAATGTTAAATTAGTGAAGAAATGAGTGAGTCATGTTAATTTCATAATTTGATTTAAAATTAGTAAAAAAAATAATGAGGAATTGTCAAGCCCTCTCTAAAATAAAATAGTTAGCGAAAAATAATGAGAAATTATTAATCTCTCTTTAAAATAAGATAATTAACGAAAAAATAGCAATAAACACATTGGCTTATGAGGAGATTATAAAGTTTTGAAGTTTTATGAAACAATTCACTGTTTTGCTCTATTAAGAAGTAGATCTTGTCTCTTAGTTTTGAAGTTTTTTTAAGAGAATAATATTTTAATATAAATTGCTCATACATCTCCGTTAGAATCGGTAATTCGAATGGGCCTGGGTTATTTGGATCGGTCTTAAAGTATCTTACTCCTTTTAAAAAGCTCATATACCTAAGCTCGACCATAATATTTTTAGGCTTCAGGTTTATTCAGACCGGCTCCAATACCTGAAACTTTTTAAAAATATTTTTATTTTTTTGAACTAATTTTAATTTTTAAATAATTTTGTTGAGCATAAAATATTATTTTAAATTTAAAAAGTAAAATAATAAATAATAACTTATCAACTTGTTTGTACTTAAATAGCTCTATTATTGTTTTATTGTATTATGTGTAATTTATTCATAAATGTTTCTTTTACTTGTAAATTAATGTCTTAGTTATTTAAATATTGTTCTTATCATGATCATATATAAATATTTTATATATTTTAATTAAATTATATTTTTTTAATTATGATTAAGTTAATCTCAATTTAATTATAATTAGACTACTAACTTAAAATTATTATTCCTATTAGTTTAAATTTTTTAATGACTTTTGGATAAACTGTATTTTTTGTTTTTAAGAATGTGAAAAAATATTCATCATTATATTGATCATTTAATTATGAATAAAATATTATTTTTTAAAATTATTTTTATTTAAATTTTTAAATTATTTAACTCTTACATACAAATATTTTTTACTTTTTACTCTAGTTTATTTTTAATTTTTAACAAAATCTTGCATAGATGATAATCAAATAATTATTTAAGAATATTATATTTATTATATTTATTTAGTATTAGAGCTAAAATTCGTACATGTCCGAATTTTATTTTTAAATTATTTTTAATTTTATTTCATTTTACAATTAATTATCTTATTTTATAAAAAATATATAATATATTTTTTTGGATATGAAAATGATGTAAAGGATTCAAAATTTTTTTTAAAAAAATGGGTCTTAAAATATAAAAATTAATATTAAAATATATTTTAAATATTATTTTGAAATATTTTATTGATTTAAAATAATAAAAATATGAAAAATATAAATATTTTTCATTTTTTAAAAAAATAGCTATAGTAACGCATTCAAATATATAGTATTTTAGTATAAAATGATATAAAATTTAAAGAATTAATTAATATTTATTATATTTATATTTTAAAAAAAAATTTTTATCCAGGTATTTGGGTGAAGCCTGAATCCAATTAGGCTTGGCCCAAAATTTTTTGAGCCCATTCGGGCTTGAACATTAAAAAGTAATTATTTTTTTTTGTTCTTTTTCGTGCTTTTTGGCAAGTTGGTTCGAGATGACCCGTCAGGCTTGGCCTAAATATCGACTCTAATCTCCGTCTAAGATTTATGGAAGTTTTTAGTAAGCGTAAAAACCATTCATGAGCTTCTCCCTTAAATAGTAAGGAAAGTAATGCAACTTTAAATTATTATCTGATAATCATTTAGTGACAATGTGTCAATAACAACATACAATTCTCGTATAAATTCAAGACATTTTCAGTTCAGTATATGTTGAAATTAGGTGGTATTTAAGTGAATATTTTTAAATTCATAATTATGCGCTTTAGCACTTAGTTGGATGTGTGATGGGTTGGATGTGATGAATGAGTGTTGAATATCTCTAAATGTAATGAGTAGCTCTAGAATAGCTTTATCATCCATCTTTCTCTTCTTTGAGACATATTTTTCCTATAAAACTGATCAATTTCTAGATTAATAGAAATCAAATTTAAGTATCAGAACTTTGTAATTGCATAAAAAAAGTTAATAGGAAAAAATTTAAAAAAATGAACTAAAAATTAATAGTTAGTAAATTTGTAATTTCCCAATAATGATGCTAGAAACTTGATCACTCTTGTAAGTGTATAAGATCATAGTAATAAATTATTTAGAGTATTGCAGGTGTCAAACCCATAGAGAAGTTGTACTTTTATTAATTTAAATAATTAATAGTTCAAGAAAAATAGATAAATAGATTATTTGATGAGAATATAATAATAAAAATAAAGCAAGAAAATAATGATGAGGAAAATACAATCACTTGAAACATTAAGGTTTACGATTCACCCTACAAGCTGCTAGTATCTACCTTTTGAGTTGCCTCTTTAATTAATTATAGTGATAACTATTCTTAAAGTGTCCTAATATTCTCTTGAATTATTAATCCCTTTTTTATTAGCATTAAATTCATTTTCACGATACCAAGACAAACTAATTAAACTGTGAAGTTATAGTTTAAGTCACCATAAATTTCATTAATTATTTCTAGCCTAGTTATTTTTATCTATTTCTCTAGATATAAGATCTCCCTTCACCTCCCAATCCATCAAGATTACTCATAAATTTAATTAAATGTGGCTAGTCATATAATCAATATGAAGAACAAGAAAAATAAATATAATTTAAGAAATAAAAAATATTATAATATAAATGCAGAAGGTCAAAACAAAAAAATAAAAAAATATCTTCCCAATTGAGCCACATTCCTACCTCAAGTGAGTAATTTAGAAATATATAATAAAATCAAATAACACCATTTTAAAATTTTCAATCATGAAAAATGATCAAAAAGAAAATTAAGGAGTAGAAAAAATAATTATGATATATAGAACTCATTAATGATCTTACTATCAGCCTTTAGAATGTTTCTACGGGTTCTTAATATTTCAGAGAAAATTTTTGAAGTACTCAGA